ATATCAACCTGTTTGGTCTTGAAATCAGGAGTCCTCAGTTCCAGTGCCCATTTTGACACTTCCTTACTATGTGAGCACAAGGAGATTGCTTGCTGTTTGCAGCCTTGGGGTCCTCCTCTGCAAAAGTTAGGTAATAACACCTATCTTACAGTGGGATCAGGATAATCAAATGGACGATTTATTGAAAGCACTTTATAAATCACGGAGTATTCTGCATATCCCAGTCTTTACTGTATGTCCCACTTGTGGGCTTCAATCAGACTACCAGCCTATTCTACTGTGGATGGGAACCAGCTTGGCAAACTCCATTCTGCACTCTGCAGTAGCACGAATAAATCACTCCTTTCTTCAAAGACAAGAAATCTTCATATCAGATGGTGGCCTGCCTGAAAGCACACTTTTGGCCCACTCCTATATAATGTTACACCCTTTGAAATGCTCCTTTTTCTAGTAATGTCACTTTCTCTCACCTTAAGCTTTAGTTTTCATCAGATTGCTTCCTTCCATCCTCCCCTACAATTTTCCAGTTGATGTTACTAGTCTAGACTCTTCTAAGACAAGTGAGTATGAGAAGACAAGGGGAGTCTGGGGAGTCCCATGAAAAGTTCCTGAACCACATGTGCCATGAGAAGGGTGGCTGCTGCTTAAACCAACCTCATTAGTTTTCTAGCTGCCTCTGCGTGTGTATCTTTCTATTGACAGTGATTATGCAAATGTGATATTTGTTTTAATGAGTATGTCAGGTGTGTTTTGCTGTAACATTATATATGATTGACTGTGGTATTAAAGTAACAAGTAGTGACAACTGCATAATAATATGTGAGGCTGTAAAAATAGAGATCCGGCAAACTTCTCTCTTGTAACAGAAGACTAAATATGCTGTAAAGTAATTCCCACTATATGAAAAAAATTCAGATATTCAGGATTCATACCTAGTCAGTCATCATTTCTACCAGATCCCTTGGCAGCACAAGAGTGGCCTGGGGATCTAGCCAGCCAGTAGATGAATCTTAAGAAGGCAGTATTGAGACCACATAAACGTAGACTTTTGAAGAGCTGCCCTGGGGTTGGAGAAAGGGATACTTCGTCCTAGAGACACAGAATGTCAAGGGGCATTTAGAGTCAAACTATGCCTGAGTTTGACTTCTAGTTTCTGCCTTTTCTTGCTGCACACTCTTAGCAAAGTTACATATTCTCTGTGGGTCTTGGTTTTCTTATCTGTAAAGTGGAGATGCAAGATAATGTCTACCTCATAGGATATTATGAAATTTTTATGAGGTGTTAACTGCAAAGCAGAAAGTACATGGACCCTCAATAATTTATTTATGTTGTTAGTACCTAGGACTGCCAAGACATTAGCTTTCTGTTCAATGTTTCAAATGTTAGAGAGATTACTTGACTCTAGATTTGTTCTCCCATTTTTTTCTTCCATGTCCAGCCTCTATTCTTTGTCAAACCCTCTCCTGAAGGGCACATCTCCTGATGTCCTCTGACAATTGTCTGTCAGGAGGTCATTAACAAGGAGAGTCTTACACTTCAGCTCCTGTTCTAGCATGGGTAGGGAGAAAAGGTGGCATGTTGGGGAAAGAGCCCCCATCATTCTCTGGGACACAACAGGGTAGCACCAGAGAAATCAACACATCAAAATTGAGTCAGATACTAACATGACTTTTCATGAAAATTTATACACACACACACACACACACACACACACACACAAACACACGGTTTGCCTAATGAATTTAGGCTATCTATTCCTTGTGCTATCAGTGACGAATGATAGTTTTAGGACTTGATCTACTAAAGTGAATTTAGTCTATGGTTTCCTTGAGTTTACAAATTGTGCTTCTCTTATATTTTGCTATAAAAATGAATTTATACATTTCAAATAGTAGAGGACATTTTGAAACTCTGATTGCTGAAATTTGTAGACTATCTTATATGTAATATCCACAAAAAAATCCAAGAACTTTTCTCAATAATTAAAAGTCACAACTTTCCCCCTTGTGAAAAATTTAGAATTCCTAATGAAATAAAGTGATTTGAATTTTAACACGACATAACATAGGATTAAATGTTTCCAAACCAGGCTTCTCAAAAAGGCCTAAATAATTAATTGATGGGTTTCCAAACCCCAAGACTGGGGTTAACTGAATGAACAGAGAAATTATTTGTAAAGTTGGAAACAGTTTGGTGAAGCCTTCCCAAGTGGGCAGCACAGTAACACCTCATCCCTCACGGAAGAAATAGCAATTCATCATCATATGCTACTATCTTTTTTATTTAAGAATAGCATTTAACAATCTAATTTTAGAATCTGCTCCATTATCATTTTTAGGAAACTTAAAGACCTTAAAACTTCTCCATACTGTGTGAGATTACACTTAATTAAAGTTCACATCTTTCGCAGAAAGGTGGAATATCAGTTCTAATTTTATATACTTGTGTGATAGAGAGAATAAGCATCAGAGTGCAGGTCAGAAGACCCAAGTTCTATTTCTGAATTGGTCACTACTTTCCTGGCTTTTCTTAAATGCTTCAGTTTTTCCATCCATAATATATGGAGAGATATCATTAGAACTTGTCAGAGTTCTTTAGAACAAGTTATGTCATCATTCATTTAAAAACTATAAAGGGCCTCCAAGGTGGCGCAGCGGTAGAGCGCTGGGTTGCGAAGCTGCCCGCGGCCTCTGTGACGCCGGTTCGATCCCCGGCTGCTCCCCGGCCACCGGAGGAGGGTCCCACATGGCGCGCAGACCTCTCCTGCCGCCCGCTGCTCCCCTCAGCAGTGTACTTCAGTCCTTCTGCCTGCTCTGCTCCCTACTCTGGCTCTGGTGAATTCTTTCACCCTCCCGCGCTTCTGACTGTACCCAGTGCATGTATAAACAAAACAAACAAACAAATAAATAAAAACATGCCTCTATTAAAAAAAAAATCTTAAAAAAAAATAAAAAATAAAAAAAATAAAAACTATCAAGCCCATACAGTGCACTAGATAGCACCTTATTTGCAAGAAATACTATAGTGAACATGAAAGTATCATTCCTAATATTATAGAGCTTAGATTTGTGCTGAATATTCTTATTGCTATTCAGTCAAGGGAGATGACATTCTCAGGAACCACTGAGGACATTTGAAGTCAATATGTCAACCAAATAATCAAATATTTGTTTAATATTTAAAATCTACAAATTTTACTCTAGATACAATGAAGAAAACAGTATCCCTAATTAGACCTATGCTGCAGTAGAGGACATATTTGTCATTGCACTCTGTGTCCCCAAAGTCTGGCATAGTGTCAGAACTCAGCAGGTACACAATATAGAATGTTGAATCACCAAATGAGTGATTTTATACATGAAAGAAAAAAAGCATGGACCGGCTCTCAAAGGATTAGCATCTAGTCAAGCATCTGTGAATCACTATATGTAATAAAAAGACATGAAGGATATAAAAGAATTAAATCAGGAACTCAAACAGATTCTTATATATCAATGTTCATAGAAATAGTATTCACAATACTAAAAGTTAATCAACAGATAAATGTATAAATAAAATGTGGTATATCAATACAATGAAATATTATTCAACCTTAAAAAGGAAGGAAATTCTGACCTGTGCTATATCATGGATGAACCCTGAAAACATCAAGCTAAGTGAAATAGGTCAGTCACAAAAGGACAGATATTGTATGATTCCACTGATATGAGGTACATAGGTATGCAAATTCATAGAAACAGAGTGTAGAGTGGCAGTTACCACAGGTTAAGAAGAAAGCAAATAAAGACAGTATTTTCTGTCTGGAATGAGGAAAAAGTTCTGGAAATAGATAGGGGTGATGGTTACAGAACAACATAAATGTATTTAATGCCACTAAACTGTATGCTTAAAAATAATTGCTATGGCAATTTTTTATCTATGTTTTATCATAACAAAAAAAAACATAATAATCGCTATAAAAAGACATGAAGGATTTTAGGAGGCAGTGACATCTGCCTGGTTTAACCAAGGAGGATGGTCTTACAGGTAGGTAGTGTTATTCCTTTAACACCTACAAATCAAAGCTTTCACTGTTAACAATAAGGAGCAAAGATTTGTTTTCATATTGTTCACCAGGCTTATATGGCCCTTCTTATATAAGAAACTGTTAAGACCACACTTGAGGGGAGAAATCACGTATCGTCCAAAAATTGACAATGATAAAAGAAAATGTACTAAAATTTAAAAATATTGAGTAAATAAATAAGCAAATACATAAAATACAACTTCATTACAAAACAAAAAGTAGCTGGTAAGAGTCATTACTTCTAAGGAGAGTCACTGGAAGTCTAGACCTTGAAGAATCTAATGTTCTGGGGTAAAAATGACTTACTTTTCACCATACATTTATTCCTTTTCTTACCTTGAATTTTTACTCCTTTTTTGTTTAAAATATAAATATTAAAAATTTTTAAACAAATGATGCCTAATCTTCTTCACAAAAATTCCCTAAATGTGATCTGAAAGCTATACGGATTATCTTAGTCTCCTATACTTTTATTCACAGGGTATAAAAAGTGAATGTTTCATGTCAGCAGCATTCATTAAATAACTACCAAAACACCTTTCAATTTGAAACTCTAACCATAAATTCTGGGGATATTGATTTTAACTTTTCTATCTCCCTCCTTATTAGTCACCCTTCAATGCACAAATATAAAGAATTAATGATACAAAATTATGCAGACAATACAATTTTAACTACCAATCCTACCTCCCAGGTATAATTAAATCAGATCCTCTTATGTTCTGTTTTGATCTTGAGTCCTTTTCTAATAAACTATAATTTATCCACTTTCACATGCAGAGGTGTTTGTGGTGGCAAATGCCCCAGATTAAAAAACCAAGTTTCCTTAGACTCCTCTGCAGCTAAAAATAGTTAGACAACTGAGTTCCTACCTACGAGAAATATTTTGTCATTTTCTGGAAGTTAACTCAACCAGGAGATGCACCTCTTTCACCTTTTCCTTTGTTTCCCCTCAGGAAGTGATTTTAAGAATAGAAGATATCTGCTGAAAACGGTGGAGTGGAGAGACAGGATGCTGGGTCTCTAATGGGATCATGAAGCTTCCATCCACCACTTGGCTCCACCAGTGCATTTCCTATATATGGGAGAAAAACAAATGTGTAGTTAAGTCAGTTATTTGAAGTTTCTGTTAGATGTGGTTTACATAAGCTTTCTTTCTCTTTCCCATAAAAAGTCTTTCTTTTTAGTACTCATTTTTCTGTAATTCCTGTAATACTCTATTTTCTGGAAGCTTTTTTAATGTTTTTTTTAAGATTTATTTATTTATGCATACAAGAACTGGGGTACAGGCCAGAGGTGCAGGTAGGTGAGGGGATTCACCAGAGACAGAGTGGGGAGAAGAACAGGCAGATTGACTGAAATACACTGCAGAGGGGAGCAGCAGGCAAGACAGGAGAGGTCTGCTGCACCATGTGGGTATCTCCCTGGCAGGCAGGGGATCGAACTCATGCTGCAGAGGCTGAGGATAGCTTCACAGTGCTGTGCTTAACCCCTTGCACCACCAGGAAGGCCCTTTAATGTTGTGGAGATTGGTTTTGTTTTGTTTTTTTTGAGGTAACATAGGTTTACATTATATGTGATCACACCACTTTAGATGCATGTCACACCACAACCACCAGCAAGGCACCCAGAGTCCTTCACCATTGTCCATTGTGCCCTCTCCCGTCTTTGTCCCCTTTTCTCCCCCTCACCATCTGATAACCTCAATTCAACAGTGATATCTGTACTGTATTGTGGTATATATTTGTAGTGTATTGGTTTGGATTTGTCTGACTCTCTGTTTTGTTTCTCTATAAAACCACATATTGAAGCGGGAAGTTACTAAGGGCTGCTGAACAATTTGCCTACAATAATGGTCGCAGTTATCATAACCCCCTTCTGGTGTTCTCAAAAGTTCCATCCATTTGTCACAAATGGCAAGAGTTCATTTTTTTTTTTTTTTTTATCTGAGTAATAGTTCATTGAAAAGAGAGAGAGAGAGAAGAAAGAGGGTCACATTTTTCTAATCCACTTATCTGTCCTTGGGCACTTAGGTTGTTTCCATAGCTTGGCTATGTAAATAGTGCTATAATAAACATAGGAAGCTTTAGCTTTCCTACACACCTTTTTTTCCACACACATCTTTTGCAATCCATTCTGTGCTTTCCTTAGGGCCACTGCTAGGGTTTCTCGATCTCTGAATACTGTGGCTGCTTTAACATCCCCCTTGTGCTGTCCTCTCCACAAAATGTGTTCCTTGCAGTTCTGCTACTTTGCAGTCAGTTCCCACTATGAACATTGGCTCTAAAAACGCAAAAATGTTCTGTCTACTCACACCTATATTCCTAGAGCTTAGAAAAGTCCTAGAATTTTAATAACTACTCCATAAATTCATTCATTGAGCTAACTGGGCAAATGTTTATTGAGCATCTCGTATGCACAAGCACCTTTCTAAGCACTGAGGACACCTCAGTGAAAAAATAGATAAAAATTGTATCCCTTACATTGTGGCATTTACATTCCAGTGTGAAAGAAAAAAATAAATATTAAATCAATCAATCAGTGAAAAAGTAATTCAGTACATTAACAGGAGAGGAGGGCTATGGAAAATCAGATTAGGATAAAAAGGATTGAGAGAGTCATGGTAAAGAAGAGTTTTAATAGAGGAAGAGTTGATTCTTGGAGAAGGTAACTTTTGTACAAAGACTTAGAAGTGGTGAAGAAGGGAGCCATTCAGATATATCAAAGAAGAGCTTTCAGGAAATGATTACAGTAAGTAAACGATAGTGCAAAGCTCTCATGATTTCAAGGAATAGTATGGAAGACACTGAACCTACAGGAGAATAAGCAGGCAGGAGAGAGATATAAGAAGAGGACAGGGAGATCACAAACTTTGTAAGTCAATCTCAGTTCTTACTCTGAGTGACATGGGGAACCATGCCAGGGCTTAAAGCAAAGGAAGGACAGGATAAGGTTTTAATAGAAGAACACTGGCTGCTATTGAGAACGGATTATAAACGAAGAATGGAAGCAAGGAGAGCATTTGGATAAGAGATGGTTAAAAGCTTGGATCAGGGGGCCTCCCCGGTAGCACAGTGGGTTGAGCGCAGCACAATGAAGCTGTCCACAGTCTCCGCAGCACGAGTTCGATCCCGGCCTGGAAGATACCCACATGGCACGGAAGATCTCTCCTGTCTCACCCGCTGCTCCCCTCAGCAGTGTTTCGATCGTATGACTGTTCTCCTCCCCGCTCTGTCTCTGGTGAATTCCCTCACCCTCCTGTGCCTCTGGCCTGTACCCCAGTTCTTGTATAAATAAATAAATCTTTAAAAAAAAAAAAAAAGCTTGGATCAGGATGCATCAGGAAGTGGGGGAGGGGGTTAATAATCCAATTCGAGATATATCTTGAAAGTATAGGTAAAGGGATTTATTACCTAATTGAATATGGAATATTCAAAAAAATAATTCCTGATGATTCCACACTTTTCACCTGGGAATCTGGAAGGGTGTTGCTATTCTTGAAATATGGACCTGTAAATGGAGTAGGATCATAGGAAGGATGTGAGTATGGTCATGTGCACTGCAAGAAGTCTATTAGACATTCAAGTAGAGGTGTCTAGCAGATAGTTTGATATACACACTTGGAATACAAAGATAAGTTCTGGATTAGGAGTACAAACTTTGGAATCATCATGAATACATGAAAAAAAAGTGCTCTAAACATATTTTCCATTCTTCATGGAAACATTTTGTAGCTGAAAGAATGGCTCCCAAACCGTGTGAACAAGAATCAAGAAATGATAAATTTCTTCCTAAGCCTTCATTTAAAGCAACATGTCGTTAAGCATGGTCTGCAGATCCACTGAATCAGAATAAAATCAGGTTTCATAATAAACATTCAGTGATTTTCATACATACTGAAATCTGAAAACTACTCACTCTATGTGAATAACTGGCATAGAATTTCATTTGGAAGTTTCCACTTGAATACCTATAATGGCTTCTAAGTGTGGGTTATACATGATATACACAGTCCATCAGATTTACTAGGAATCCCCAATATCCAATTCTTTTTCTAATAACTATAGATTGACACATATTGTGTAAGATTTATCATTATTAAAGGAAACTTATTTCTGGGTAATCTTCTGAGTCATTTCCTACATCATAGCCATAGTAATGGAGCTCCCTGATGGAGTTCTCTTGCTATGAGTTATAAAACTTTGGCTATGATGAACATACTCTTTCAGGAAAGATGTTCCTCAGCCACATCTGATTCTCTTGTTTCAACATTTAGAAACCTGTATTGCATGGCAGGTTTTCATTCCCACTATCAAATTGACCCCTTCTACCCACTCTTGGCACCCTTTCCCCTTCACCCCTAGTAATCATATTTTTCTAGAGTTAGTTATTTTTGTTGTACTTGCTAGTTTGTTTTATTTATTTATATTACACATACGAGTGAAACCATCTAGTAATTATGTTTCACTTTCTCGTTTATTTCATTTAGTTCTTTGTAACTTTGATAATTTTTTCAATATTTTTTGCTTGCTGCTGAAGTTTACAACACATGAGATTATACTACAATTTGATGAACTGGATAATCATTACAAAGCAACTGTTTACTCAGAAAAAGAGCAGAATTTGAAAAGATTACCCAAGTATTCCCTTTGGCAGAAATACTGTTTCCAGGGCATTGTGCAAACATATCTAACAGTTTTCTTGAGTAATTATTTTAGGCATTATTAACTTAGAGTTACTAAGCAATATTTTTGAATCACTGGACTAGGGAAGATGTAAACCCAAAGATTTTTGCAAATAGTTTATCAAGATGTGTGGCAGCTGTGGGCTTACCTCATGAATTTCCTGTTTAACAACTTCTGGGTACTGGAGTTATCATTCCTAACTTGGATCAACTGTTCTTATGAGTTCAAGAGTCTGGAGCTGCCATTTTCAATCTACTATATTGTAACAGAGTCATCTCCATAAAAAAAGGAGGGTCCATGTTTCCTGCCCCAACTAATGAGGGGCAGAGCTGAGCAGCAAGGGAGGCTTGAGAGACAGAAGAGACACAGAAAGGGGAGACACTTGGAAAGAGACAGAGATAGAAGAGACGGCTTGATTCTCAGCTTTGAGCTTATCCCAGGGACTTGGGGTCTTGGAGCATACATGAGGAATGGAAATATGCAGAGATATTTGGAAGAAACATGTGGGAGAGAGACATGTGGGGAGATTGACAATGGCAAACTTTATCTTGATTTGTACTTAAATTTTGCTCCTTTCATCCCAGATTTTTCTGGTCCCTTTGCCCCTTTCCTATGGTTCCCCACAAGAAAGTGTCTTAGACTTATGGCAGGCTTTCGGGCCCCAGTGGCCCCACTTCAGGCCAATTCTGTTTGGCTGGACATTTACCCATGAGGGGATGGTAACTTTGGATTTTCACTGGGAAACTATTCTCTCCTCTTCCTTCTCTATGCACAATCATTCCATTAAAGATGTTATACATTAAGAGTATGCCTTGTCGGGCCTCCTTGGTGGTGCAAGGGGTTAAGCACCGCACTATGAAGCAATCCGCAGCCTCTGCAGCACGAGTTCGATCCCAGGCCAGCCAGGGAACAACCCACATGGCTCAGCAGACCTCTCCTGACTCGCCACTGGCCCCCTCAGCAGTGTACTTTGGTCAACCTGCCTGTTCTGTTCCCTGCTCTGTCTCGGGTGTATCCTCTCACCCTCCCACACATCTGGCTTATACCCTGGTTCTTGTATAAAAATAAAATAAATCGGGCCTCCCCGGTGGCGCAGTGGTTGAGCGCTGGGTTGCAAAGCTGTCCGCAGCCTCTGGCAGCGCTGGTTCGATCCCCGGCCGCCGGTCGAGGGTCCCACATGGCGCTCAGACCTCTCCTGCCACCCGCTACTCCCCTCAGCAGTGTACTTCGGTCCTTCTGCCTGCTCTGCTCCCCGCTCTGGCTCTGGTGAATTCTCTCACCCTCCCACGCTTCTGACTGTACCCAGTGCTTGTATAAATAAATTAATTTTTAAAAAATGTTAAAAAAATAAAAATAAAATAAATCTTTTTTTTTAAAAAAAGAATATGCC